CCGAAACTTAAAAATATACAACTTAGCGCTGAATAACAATTAAAACTAGAACTAACACTTGCACTGCAACTATACTCTGTTTTTAAACCAGGAGGAGTATTTTAAATTTGTCACCAGATTGACCTTGCACGTGATTGGTTGAATGCGAGGAAGGTTCACACACAGGCAATTTTAATTTTGAATTTGAAGGTTAGGTTATTGACAATTCGACAGTTTCGTGTCATTATTGTAAATTTTGTGTTCTTAAACCCTTCTTTATTATATTTTGAAATAAATACACTCATAACTTCAATGTTAATTTGTATGTTTAGTGTTGACGATAACAAACGAAAATAAATACAATAATAAGTAAATAAATAAATAATAACAATTATTAATTTAAATTTACCGCCAAAATATCTAGTGATATTTTCTGGTGATTTTTCCTAGTGTAAATCTGACTTTCGCGTTTACTCCTCCTGGTTTAAAAACAGAGTATAGTAGCGCATGAATGTTTTACACTCGATGTTATTTTTGTCAAAATAAATAAATAAGTAGATGTTTATTACAAAATAAAGTTTAATTGTGTCTTTTGTGTCTAGCGCTACTTGATATTTGGACAAAAATAACATCGAGTGTAAAACATTCATGCGCTACTAGATTAAAATGTGTGCTTTTTGATGGGGAAAGAAATGAATTTTTAAGAAAAACAAAATACTATTCGTATAAAGAATGTTTTTAGGAACTCAATAATAAAAAAAAAATTTTGGCATTCAATTTAAAAAAAAAGTTGACAGTCGCCATTTTGAAATAATAATTCGTCCAATTGAAAATGTGATATCACCATCGTGTAGAGAATGTTCTAAAATATATTACTGCCAAATATTTTGAAAGTAGTACCCATAGTGTGGCTAAAAAAAAATAAGGCGCTTACTCTGAATCAGGCTGTATAATAATTTTTCTCTTTAAAAACTTGATTTAAATAGAGGGATTCAATACGCAATATATTTTTGTCTCTTGTCATGTTCTCTTAAAATTGTTAGTTTGATCACAAAAAAATAAAATAATATACAGGCTCAGGTGAATTAATTCAGCGATTGGTTATTAGTAGTCAAAAAAATGAAGTTATGTCAAATTGATCTCAGCATTATTTTATTTTTTGTGATCACACTAACAATTTGTTAGTTGTAAAATGTCAAGAGATAAGAAAGTTGCAGATTTTTTCCCTTAACTTTAGACTATAACTTGGAGGAGAGAAGAGGTTTAATTTTCGCTGAAAAATCACCCCTTAAAATCTTTCGCATCAATTTAGATACACCCTGTATATATAAAATTAATAATAATTTAATTATTTATTACCACATTAAATTATCATGGTTGATTCGAATAATGATTTAGAATTACAAAATATTTCAAAAATTAAATTTCCACCCTTATGGCGTTCCAACCCTGAGATTTGGTTCAAACAAATTGAAACACTTTTCGTGTTAAACAGAATTAACTCTGAAAAAATTTAATATAATGCAGTATTGGCAAACTTACCTACCGAAATTTTTTCAACTGTGCTTGGCTTAATCCAAAATCAACCAGATCTACATCCATACTCTTCGCTTCACAAGGTATTAATAGACCGATTATCCTTAAGCGAAGAAACACGTCTAGATAACCTCCTTTCCTCTGGCAAGGAAGAAGTTCAAGATCACCATCAACTTCAACCTCATTGTCAGAAGTAAATTTTAATCTTCAACCTCAAAAATACTCCAAAGTCACATCACAGGATGACACTAGCTTTGTTCGTTGGGACTGCACTATTCTGCACGACATGGCACTCGTATGACGTCATAGTGCAATTAAGTGTAAGTCAGTGCAATGTCATGTCAACTTAGTGCAGGTCAGAAAAGTGTATAAACCGTGGTCGCAACGAACAGATTTTTATAAAAAAAAGTGTATAATATTTGAAATGGACGAACAGGAGATTGTCAGCGAAATACTCGTGGAAAATGAAATCATTGCAGAATGTTTTTTTAGTAGCGATTCATCAATTATTATTATTTTTTATTTTTATCAATTATTAGCGAAATATATTTTTTCGCCAAACTACTATCTAGTTCTTTCAAAAGTACTACTTAACGTATAAAGAAATCACATGCTAAATTGCACCAAAATCGGTAAGCAGTACCTGCAAAAAAAAAATTTGGGGTGGTGACGGTAGTTAACACCAGCCACCCCTAAATGAGAAAAAACATATAATTAGTATTTTTAAATGTACTATAAGTGTATTTAATGCCGCCAAAATGGACAGGGTAGTTTTTAAATTATTCCAAAAAAGTAGGGGTAGTTTTCTACTGCCTCTACTGGGATTGAATATACTGTGTTCTCTAATACAACAAATATTAATTATTATAAGGTTTTATTTCTTAATATTTAATATTAATATTAATTATTACAAAACACGGTTTCAAATATTCCGCCATTTTAGTTACACTGCATTAAACTGCACTTATTGAACTTAATCGAAAGCAGGTGCAACAAAATCTGCACCAACTTGCACCGGCTGCACTAAATTGCACTGCACATGGCCCAACGAACAGTATGAGTGCAACTGCACTAAACTGCACTATCCCCAATGAACACACAACATCTGCACTAAACTGCTTAGTGCAAATGAGTGCAAGTAGTGCAGTCCCAACGAACCAAGCTACTGTAACCACAAAGTATTAAAATCTATTTGAGTCGATAACTAAACATCAGGATGACATTGAAACTCAAATAAATTTAATTATAAACAAATTAAAAATAACTTACCACCAACGTTTTCATATCAAACTTACAATCACTGTCACTGCTCAAGATCACGGGAGCGTTCATTTTCATGTTCACGCCAGAGNATTGGACTAACATAAATTGGGTTAAATCGTAATAATTTAATGTAAGGAATTCACTGTTGCTCTGTGTCCCATTAGTAACGGACCATCCTGTATATAAAATTAATAACAATTTAGTTATTTATTACCACATTAAATTATCATGGTTGATTCGAATAATGATTTAGAATTACAAAATATTTCAAAAATTAAATTTGCACCCTTTTGGCGTTCCAACCCTGAGAGTTGGTTCAAACAAGTTGAAACACTTTTCGTGTTAAACAGAATTAATTCTGAAAAAATTAAATATAATGCAGTATTGGCAAACTTACCTACCGAAATTTTTTCAACTGTGCTTGACTTAATCCAAAATCAACCAGTTCTAGATCCATACTCTTCGCTTAAAAAAAAAGAAACACGTCTAGATAACCTCCTTTCCAGTTCTAATATGGGTGACCAAAAACCATCCGATTTTTATCGTTCCATGTTAACCACAGTTGTAGGATCTCACGTGGTTAGTCAACATTTATTGGTTAAACTATGGCAAAGACGATTACCAAGAGTTGTTGCAATACACTTCTTTCCTCTGGCAAGGAAGAAGTTCAAGATCACCATCAACTTCAACCTCATTGTCAGAAGTAAATTTTAATCTTCAACCTCAAAAATACTCCCAAGTCACATCACAGGATGACACTTTAACCACAAAGTATTAAAATCTATTAAGTCGATAACTAAACATCAGGATGACATTGAAACTCAAATAAATTTAATTATAAACAAATTAAAAATAACTTACCACCAACGTTTTCATATCAAACTTGCAATCACTGTCACTGCTTAAGATCACGGGAGCGTTCATTTTCATGTTCACGCCAGAAGTCTAGAAGCAGTTCCCAAAATTCTCTAGACATTTGTTGGTCTCATCGCAAATTTCACGATAATGCACACAAATGTGAAGGAGCTCTATGTAGATTCTACACTTCATTTAACAATTCTTCATCTCCAAAAAACTAAATAAAGTTTTAATAGAAAAAAAGAAATTTTCAAAATTCAAAATTTTGACAAAACGTCAACCTCACTTTTTTGACAATACCAATAACCTAAATTTCTTGATTGACACTGGAGTCGACATTTCAGTGTTACCATTCAAGTTTTTTCCGAACCATAAAAAGGATACCAATTCAAATCTTTCAGCCGCTAATGGTACTACCATCAAATTTTCCTTTTAATTTCACAATTGCAAACGTAAACAGACTCATTATTGGCACAGATTTTCTTAATAACTTTGGTATTCTGGATAAGAATAGAGAGGTAGTATATACTAATAGCACTAAAAGACTAATTTGTAAAGTCTAATTAACAATTCGAGTTTTTGTATGCAATGTTTATAATTGGAAACATAGATTAAGAGTGATAAAGGATAATAAAAGATCAAAATAATTTTATGGAAAACAGAATTTTTATTTGTACAAAAATAGCAAAATAAATAACATCAAGTAGTAATAGTTATAATGGGTCATAAAAGCTCTCCTAACGCGTAAGGAGACGTATTGTTCGTTTCTAAATAATAAATTCCAACGATGTTTGGATTAGCGTCCTCACCCATAATTGCAGTTATTTTTTTATTGTACTTTTTATCAACGACATCATCGAAGCTATCGCAATAGCCAGCAATGAATTTTTTACTTGTAATACTTTCCGCAAAGTATAACGGTGCTCTTTTATGACTGCACGCCACTAAAGTAAAACAAAGAAAGTTATAAATTATTTTTAAAATAATTTTGCAATTTGGGTTGCATACTCATACTAACATTTTTGAAAAAAATTCAATAATTTATAAAAATTAAATAAATTCTTACTGTTAGTTGTTTTACATCCAGCTTGTTTCCTGACTCCACCATTAGGATAAAAGTCAATATGTCCTAATGGTTCCTTAATCCCTAAGACGCCTCCATCAGTATGGATGACATCAACAAAATTTGCATCTGATCTGCATAATCGATCTTCAGGCGGTTTTTCTTTATAACCAGGTCCAGCAGGATCTAAAGCGGTTATTCTTCCGATGGTTTTATTATGATATAAAATAATATGTTTTCCTAGAAGTAACATTTATTTTTTAAATCATAAAAACATAATGATTAAATTTAATTACCTGCAAATCCTGCTATGTGTGACCCTAAACTATGCCCAATAATATGAAATTTTTCGAAATGTATGCGGTATTTTAAAGAAATATCACTGATTAACATAGCTATGCTGAATCCAACCATTTTAACCGATTTCACAGCTTTACCAAACAACCCTTTCGCGAATTTTCCCCAATGCACTGTAATAATATTAACATTTCCACGTTTTAAATACTCTTGAATCGTTGGTTGATACCAATATGATTTTTTATCATCCATCCAACCATGACACAATATTTTAACTGGATATTCTGGATTTATTTTATAGTTTTTCGTTTTTACCTTTAACAATTTCGTTCCTTTCTTATCCCCATTTCCGGTATAAAGATAAAACTTAACACCGTTTTCTTCATAACCTAGATTTTAAAGTACACGTTAAAATATCTAACAAAAATAGAATGAATAAATAAAATTACCCATGTTAAGATCGAGAATGAAAGCGAAGTTCAAGGATCGATGTCGATGCTGACGACGAATATTTTCCTATGCCATGTATTTTACAAACTTGGCAAAGCGCAATCGCACACCAAAGACTAATCGAAGTCGGAACGTTTTATGTTAGATTCACTGTCTGGTAAGTTTAAAAATAATATGAGGGAGTTTGTTTATAATGCTAGCGGGAGCCGGTAATTTCGTAATTTTGTGACGTAAACTCTAAATATAATAGATATTATTTATACCTTAAGCCTTATCTGAACAATTTGGATTGTTATTCCGTGACTGAACTGCTAACATTGCCGGTTTGAACAAAAGTGCGCTATTTTGACTTTATATAAACACTTTTATGATGTGTAATCATAAAATATGATTACAATAAAATTATGAAGTGTGCTTCAACTTGTAATTAAATCGAGATAATTTGAAATGTAAATGAATCACATAAAAAAAATTTAATATATCAGATTGAAATGTAACGAAAAATATTTTTAAATAACAAGGCCATACAATTAATCATCAATTTTATTGACCAAATAAGTATGAATAGACAATTATTTAATTTTCTCTTCACGTTTAAGTTTAACTAATTCCTCTGATTTTGTCCATAATTTTTTTGCGATTTCTGCGTCTTTTGCGGAATCATACAGTTCAATTTGTTGACAATTATCAAAAAGTTGACCCGTTATGTGTTGAACAGAAGGAGATGTTGCTACATGAATTGATGTTCTTGCCCCTTCTTCCGGTGTCTAAAATAAATTTAAAAATATTGAATCATATTATTTACTAAAATTTGTCTAAAATTGTTACATTACTGAATAATGAATGTAAAAAAAGTATTAATAAAGTTTCTTATTTTACTGTTCCTGCAACTCCTTTTTAGGTATACAACGGTTATTAGACAGTTTATGACTTGAATAAATTAGTAATAATAATTATAAAAACATAGTTGTTACGTTTTAGCGTGTACGGCTGGTATATTACTGCTATTACTATAAGTGTTGTAAATATAATTTTCTTTACCATCATTTTCTTCCTCGTGTTCCAAGGTCCCAATCGTCTCCCCACAAAAAATAGTCTTCTACTCTAGATTCAACAGTTGATGCATGACATGGAGTTTATGTCATCGTCTTTAATTTTTACAAACAAAAATTTGTTGTGCATGGCACGGTAAAGTTCGCCATTAACCGTAATTTCTTTTTGTAAGCTCACTTTGGAAGAACTTGTGGCCCAATGATCTTACTGTACCAAAATTCGCACCAAACAGTCGTTTTGTGGAAATGAACTTCATCTGAAAAGATGATTTTTTGATAAAAATGCTCATCTTTGGCTAAGCGATCTCCAGCCCATTGGGTGAACCGAAAACGCATCGGATGGTCATAAGACTTCAGTTTTTGAACAAATTGAACTTTGTAAGTCTTCATACTGAGGTCTTTATACAACATTTTCTTCAGAGAAGTGAAACGATGACGAGTTCATGGATTTTCACGCACACTCTGAGCAACTGCACGAGAACGTGGACGGGTTGTTTTTGCAATAACGATTCAGCTTTACGAATTGATCCACAAAGTGAGTTGAACGCACTGCATTTAGTCCAATATTTCCATGTAATTTTTTTACAGTTTGGCTTGAAGATCACTTTGGCAGTAAGTTTTTAATATGTCACATTTTTGTTCAAGCGTAAAGCAAATGTCAAATATAAGACTAACTCTGTTAATTCATGAATGTCATTTGTTAGATGGCCCACTCTGTAATTCTCTTTATGAATGATTGTCATTACAATGCCAAGAATTGTAGTATCGTAATGATGTTGAGAAATTCAGTTGTACTAAGAATGATGGAATCGTTACTTTTTGTGCAATGTGGCCAAATTGCATTCCTACACATTTAAAGTTGATAGTTTAGGTATTCTATAGCAACGTTATCGGAAATATTATCGAGAATCAAAAGAACTTCTAGACTTTTTTAATTCATATATCGTATAAACCATTCTGTAAACATAAAAATGATCACCCAGGCGATCTTATTTGCCAAGCAGGGAATAGGTTAGTGATCGAACGGATAATGATTTGCGAAAAACCGGATACCGGATATTTCTTTCAGCCGGATATCCGGTTATCCGGCATATCTATAAGGCCATTATGGTTACAATTTCTGGTGCATTTCTGTGATACCCTACAATACCACATTATTGCGATATTTTAATAAAAATGAAATTAATAAGAAAGCTGATAAGATATGTCAACTTATTTGGATCCAAGATACAAAATGAATCATTTTGATGCTGATTTAACTAACGAACCAACTCTAAAAAGAGGATACTTTAATTAATACTTGATATTTCCACAAGGATCCTTCAAGAAATGAATTATATATCAAAACTTCGAATATTGTTTTCTCAAAAACTAAAAGTTATTTTTCAAAACGGGTCGGTTCATTGGATAGAGAACACTTTTATTAACACTTTGGGAAAATTTCATACTCATATTCCAATAAATGGATTTTATACAAATTTTTAAATCTTAATCGGCGAAAATTGCGAAATTCGAAAAAATTGTCGATTATTTCAAAAATTTATTTCTTAAGAACTAAAAATGATTTTTCACAATGACTTTTTTCATTAAAAACAGAATACTTTAATTGATAATTGGTTATATTTCCACAAGGATCCTTCAAGAAATAATTTTATAGCGAATTTTGAAAGTTATCGATGAAAATTGCAACATCGAAAATTTTACCAAAACTTCAAATATTGTTTTCTCAAAAACTAAAAGTTATTTTTCAAAACGGGTTGGTTCATTGGAAAGAGGACACTTTTATTAACACTTTGGGAAATTTTCATACTCATATTCCAAGAAATGGATTTTATACGAATTTTTAAAACTTAATCGGCGAAAATTGCAAAATTCGAAAAAATTGTCGATCATTTCAAAAATTTATTTCTCAAGAACTGAAAGTGATTTTTCAAAACGGCTTTTTGCATTAAAAAGAGGATACTTTAATTAATAATCGAAAGTGATAACAGCGACAGTTCTGTTAGTAATGAATGTGATGATGAATTACAAGCGAAGAGAAGAAAACTAGACGAAACTGCAACAAGAGATTTTATATATCGTATTGGATTTGTTATAATGGGGTTGCTAATGGCAAACCTGATATAAATAAAGTTGTATTCAATGAAAAAAGTCCTATTGGGGTTGAACTTGATTATTATCTGCAGTGTCCAACACCTAAAAGAGATACTACTTCCTGTGAATGGTGGAGTACTTACTAAGTAATAGGTTTTTAATATCCGACCAAAGCCGAATAGTTGCCGGATATCCGTTCCACCACTAGGTAGTTTACTGATTCACCATTAGGTCTTGATTCACCATCACTGATTTCAACGTACGATCTCCTGAGGTAATGGAGCAAAATAGGAGTGTCACCCGTTCTTTTGCTTCCTTAGATCCACCGGTAGTTTTCTGCGATTCGGGTTCATCTGCATTTCACACTTGGACAGGAGTATATCCTTTATCTCAATGGTCTTAGAAAGTTCCCGGGACAATGCTGTTAAAAAGACTTGTCAATTAACCTGTTCTTGCTGAAAATTTAATCAAGCTCTTTTTTCAATCTGTACGTAATGCTATTCTGTTCCATATATTCCAGTCGTGTCGACATTTTGATTGACATAATCGGTTGTATATGATGCCGATTTCGCACTTATTTTTGGTCCAGAACATTTCAACTTTGTAATTGCAGCTTTATGTAGATCAAAATGTTTTCTCATATAAATAAGTCCTTGTTTATTTGCAAGGCGATGAAAATCGTCCTTTTTCGATGAGTTACAAAAGCTTACTGAAAACTACTTGTAGCTCACTACATTATTTTATTCAACTGTGCATGGAAAAGTCTAACCTACACGATGTAGAGCTTACCTAGGTTAACTTCTTTCAGACGCACAGTACAGAATGAAGAAATTAATTAGTAACTTTATAATATATTGTTGTTAGGCTTGTTCAATGGCTTGTCCAACATCCTCGTCAACGTTTTGGTGCTGTTCTATGATCTTTTTCTTACTGGGTTACTCATTTTTGCACTTCATTCTTTTTATATGTTAAGAATGAGTACTGCTTTTCTACCTTGAAGATTTGTTTCGGCTATCGTCTCGTCATATATTGCATGAGCTGCAATGTTTGATATTTTGTTTGTTCGAAATAAGCTGTTCAATCTTGCCGACCTCCTTCATTACACATGTATTCAGTTTCTTTAGCAATTGACAAGGTGTAGAGTATTAATGTACTATCCAATGTTATTCCCTTTGCATGATATTTTTTTTACCTTAGTAATGTTTTCGAGCTTCGTAATAATTACCATGGGCAATTATGTAAACAAACTGCGTTTCTGCTTAAGTTGTGTATTCAACCACAACTTCAGATTACTATTCTTTTAATACATGTGGTCTTTTGCTAAGCTTGCATACATAAATGACTAATTATGCAAATAGGTATCTATATATATAAGAGTAATGTGTTAAATAAGTAATAGTTTAAATGTGATATCAAAATCCATATTGAGTGTTTAAACAAAAACATCTGGATAGCATAAGAATCAGGAACATAAAAAGTTTAATACTTGGTTGTGTAACATTTGTTAGTGTAATATGTGTGGTAAGATGTGTAATAAATAGCTTTCAAAACTTTTATAACTTACTTTAAAGTACGGTTTTGCAAAAGCCATAACTATAGTTTTCATTAATTTAGGCATTCTTCTAAATATATCAGTTAAAACAGCCCCTGGATGTAAAGCATTAACGGTAACTCCACTACCATCAAGTTTTTTTGCTAACTCAGTCGTGAAATAAATGTTACAAAGCTTTGAAACTCCATAAAGTCGTGTATCGGCTCGAGCTGGTCCAACATCTTGAGGAAACATATTTAACGCATCAATATTTATTTTTGCAAATTTTGCTCCAATCGATGACACATTAACTATTCTACTTGGTGCTGATTTCTTGAGTTTTTCTGTAATTTAATTAATGTGATTTTGATCTAAATTAAATAAATGTTTTTCTTTTAAGTTTACCTATTAATAAATGTGTTAGTAAAAATCCGGATAAATGATTAACTTGAATGGTAATTTGTAAACCATCGTCAGTGACGTGATTTCCTAATCCTCCGGCTCCTGCGTTATTTACTAAAATGTCTAAACGATCCTCGTTTTCGTTAATATCTTTTGCGAAATCTCTTACTGATTGCAAAGACGTCATATTTAGTAATTTATAAACAACATTATCATTTCCGGTTTCTTTTTTAATTTTTTCACAAGCTTCTTCAGCTTTTTCTTTATTTCTACATCCCAATATTACTCTAGCTCCTCTACATGCAAAATCTAATGCGGTTACATATCCGATACCTATTTAATAAATATTTAAATTTAATTAAATTTTATTACTTATCAAATATTTACCTGTATTTGCTCCAGTTACTATAGCTGTTTTTCCATTTAAACAAGTGTAGCTATCGGTTTTCTTTGTACGTAATTTTAAATATATTTTCCAACCAACTGCAGCTAAAATTATCCAAAATAGAGCACAAATACAGCAACCCATTGTTATCGAAATACGGTCTGATAATAAATTCGTTTTGATCGAAGTTTTGTTATCGCTTTAATCGAACTGGAATTTGAATTGCGATCGAGGTCAACATTTTTTAAATACATACATGGTTTTATTGCATTTTTGGTCGAATTTTACTTTTAAAATATATGGATATTTTTACAAATTTATAAATTACGCTTTTAATTTAGTATTACAGTTTAATTCTACACTTTAAAATCTTTTTTGCTTATAGGCAGTAAGCTTTGCATTACAGTAATTTAGTTTGCCTAATTCTGAAGAAAAAAATTTTCATTTTTATAAGTGTGCAAGGACAGTAGAATTTGAAATCCCGGGAATAGGTGCGGGAATTACTATTTTGTACTTTAAATTAGCAAAATGTTTAATTTATTCTATTCCATAACATAAATGGGTCACCCAAGGTGGTATGTTATAATTGTAATCCACTTTTATTTCGTATGTGTAATCAAATCACCTAATGTTTCATAGCGATCTTTTTATTTAATAATAATAATAATGCCTTTATTTCCCACCTGTAATGATATACAACAACATAATATATCACAATTTCACGAGACGAACTAATACTAAATAAGTGGGAAATCCCAAGGTGCAGTTCAACCGCTGAATGCCACTGACATAGAGTTGCTCTTCCACTGAAACCTTGAAATACAAAATTAAAATAAATACCAAAAATTTTATTTAAATTAATCCAAAATTAAATCAGCAAAACAAAGAAAAAAGAACAGAACAAATGTTTCCTTGTCCTTCTCTTGCATTGATTGCGGGCTCACATGTGCATGGATCGATTGAAAAAAAACCAGATTAGTAAGTAAACAAAGGAAAAAACAAAAACAAAAAACTGCAACAGAAACGTTGTAGAGAAAACATGCTTTTTAAATGCCAGGATGGACAGTGATTTCGCCCAAGGCGGAATGCGGTTATAGACTTTCGATATAGGTATTGTAAATACATCTCGAATCAATTCCCAAAGAAGTCTACTCAAGTAATCCAGCAAACTAAAAATATCTCAAACGCAAATCCGGTTGGAACAATAAAAACTAAAGAGAAAAATGCGGAAAATAAAACTTCAACTTCTGCGCTTGTTGCAAAGCAGTCAGATAAATTATCAAATAAAAATGTAAACATACTGGAAAATATCTCAAATGATCAAAAAACCATCACGGATGCTAATAACGATTTTACAGTCGTTCAGTGGCCCCAAAAACGTGGCTCTTTGTTGGGAACTGCTTATGGTACAACAAGCGATAGTGAATTAAAGGGGACAGTTCGTGCTCATCTTCACATTTATGTTCTAGACCCAAAAACAAAGTCAAAAGATGTAGAAAAATATTTAAATAATAAGGGCTTTAATTCTATACAATGTTGTCAGTTAGATTCTAAATACCCTCAAAACTATTCATCGTTTAAATTATCTGTTCCATTTGCAAAATTGGACCAATAGGACACCACGCCAGACTACATCAGCATAATCGAAATGAGAGAACACGCTTTTTAGTGTTAGTAGAAAACATTTTCCTGCTTGCATATACATTTTTTAAGTTCATATAAGCTTTTTTCATACAATTACTAATGTGTTTTCTAAATCTTAGGTCCGTATCGATTTGTAATCCCAAATTTCTGCCTGGCTCAACACGATTTAAGGTGACACCACCAACCTCAACTCTGAAATCATTTAGAGTTTCCTTACCCCTAGTTGCACCGAATATCATATAAGTCGACTTTGTGGAATTGAGTTTTAAGTCATGGTCCTTCACCAAATTCTCTAGATCCCTTATCAATAGATCATTAGTTACAGCAGCCTCCGACACAGGAAAATCAATGTAGATTTGTGTATCATCAGCGAAACAATGCATTTTACAGTTCCTCACCGAGGACTGCAAGTTAAACGTGTAAATAATAAACAATAGTGGCCCCAATATGGATCCCTGAGGAACTCCAGAAGGAACCGGAAGGGGATCCGAGTATTCGTTGCCCAACCGAACCAACTGACGG